GCAGACATCTTCTCTGTTATGCCTCTAACCCCCGGCCCTCTGAAGGCAGGCCTCAGGGGAGGCATAATCTCCCAGCCTTTTCATGCTCTCTGCGTGGCGCCTGAGAGCGGAGGGGAGAGGAGGGTCTAGCAGACCATTTATCTGCCTCCGTGCAAGAGCTGCAGCATTGTGCGGAGCAGGTGCTGCCGCGGCATTCCTACCCTTTAAATAATGTGGAAAGGACACACTCGAGGGATGTGTGGGACCCGTGGCACTGTGCTGCTGCTGCCTCGCTGTTGTTCTTGAACAGCCTTCAAAAACTCACACTGCCAAGTGGGCTCGTTTTCACATTGAACCGCTGCCCCGCTCTCCCTCTCTCTGGTTTGGAGGTATGCTGACATCAGCAGGAATACAACACGCACAAAATATCTTATAAACTTATACCACCCACCCTTGTTGGACTTTTCTCCTTGTATATTTCCCTCTACTTTTAATACCCTCGTTTGTTTGACTTTGGGGGTTTCTTTGCACTTTGCTTGCTAAGGAAAGCTCCTCTGTAAATGTTACAGCCATTGGTTTCTGGATTAAGTCCTCAGCTAGTGTTAAACAATAATCACATCTCCGAAGCTGCTTTATTTGTATCCCAGAAACCACCTCATTGTGCGGGTGTGACCCAAGAGGACTTGATTAATAACCGTCAGCTATGTAAACATGACCTCTCACCCGTCCCCGTCATGCTGCAGGGCACCGACAAGCGCTGAACTTCAAGTTCAAGCTCAGGTTTACAGGGTGCCCCTCATTTTTAACCTCTGCAGAGAAAGGAGACCGTCGTTGACCAATGACACCTGAAAGAGGAAACTGCTCTTCGGGGAGTGGAGGGGGTGACGGGGGGCGTTTGTTGATGGAAAGTTCACTTCAGCGCCGCACTGTGATAAACACAGGGAAGACTCTGGGTGTCCAGGCTCTAACAACAAACAGCTGCACTACTCCCCACAGGCCAGAAGAACGGCTTTAGACTTCTGCTAATAGGGCAGAATACAGGATCCTATTAATTAGAAATGCCTCGGACAATAGGCACAATAGGCTCTTATGATATGAATGTTCACCCTGGATAACTCTGTTAAGTGTGTGTGTGTGTGGTGTGTGTGTGGTGTGTGTGGTGTGGGTGTGTGTGTTTGTGTGTGCCTTGAGGAATGTAGTAATAATTAGGCCTACATAGGCTACAAAATGCTTCCACATACATTTAACTACACCACTAGTGTATTATCTCTGCTTAGGAGCATAGATGTCAAGCCAATGATAGACTAATCTGAGAATTATAAGATAGCTCTTAAATTTGTTGTGAAGAAGATTGTAACATACG